TGTACCAGTTGAACTCAATATCTTAATTGTACTATTTCGCTCTCAGTTGTACAATTCCGCTCTCAGTTGTACCATTTGTCCAGTTGTATCATTTCTCCTATCATAACTCCAGGAATTTTGAGATGGGGTTCTTCTACATATGAATCTGATTAGCATAACCACGTTCTTCTCACAAATTACCGAACCTATGGCTTAATATATCCAGAATACATTGTTACCAACCCAGATCCCTAATTTTACAAATCTAAATCCCTAATTTCATAAAATATATCTCTAATTAAAAAAGAAGAACTCACCTTAAAAATGGTGCATTCAACAATGGCAGAATAGAAAAAGAGAACTCGGAATCTAAATCAGACAAAGTGGAGAAAGAATCGAAATCTGGGTCGGACAAAGAGGATGATGGGAGAAGAAGCTCACATGAGGAGCTGACTATAAAAGAGCTCGGGTGAGAGGAGAGAGGAGCTCGCAGAGGGAGGGGATTCAATTTTTTTAGATTTAATTTTGTTTTTTTATTTTTTAGATTTTGGTTTTAATTACTTTTATTTATTTTACTTTTACTTATTCATAAATTTATTTTTATTCATTTATTTTTATTTTTTTTTTATTAAAAACTAAATCGTAATTTTATATCTTATTTAATTAAGTGAGTGGCATGATACTGAAGAGTGGCAGAAAAGAATAATTTTTTTTTGTCAACGATCAACTATAGATTAAGTCAATTTTGGTTAATGGTTACGGTTTCTGTGGATTCCGTTTTCATTAATCGGGTCTGGCTTACATAGGAAAAGATATAGCCTCGTGTTCTTGCTCTCTTAGCAAGATTGCCGGCACAAACATTTTGACTGCGTGGGATTAACCGAAAAATACATTCCTCAAAAGAGGTCCTAATCAAACACAAATATTCTAACTCCGATATAAAGGCTGGCCAATCTATAGGGTCTTCGATCATCTGAATCAAGTTGGAGCAATCTGTTTTGATGCAAACTCTCGGGATTTGTTTATCTCTTAGGCATGTCATTGTCCACAGGAGCCCATCCATTTCCGTATGTAGAGCTGACAAACTTCTCCTGCATCCTTGTTCTCCGGTGGTGATAAATCCCAAAGGGTTCATCAAGTGCAACCAATTCCACTAACCGGTCTATAATCAACCCAAGAGGCATCAATCTGGCAGGTCAGAATTTGAGGGACTACCAAGGCCTCGTGCGGGGTGTATGGACTGTGTCTCTCCTCGCCCGCCTCTTCTATCTCTTTATCATTCGCTTTTTTCCAGCTTTCTGCTTCTGTGATGGCATACTGAAGGGTGGTCATAGGTGAGACAGCCTTCCCATTGAAGATTTTGTCATTCCTAGCCTTCCAGATTAACCAGATAATCCATGGGAATAATTCCCTACGGGCAGCAAAGAGCTCCTTTTCCTTAATCCTCCAAAATAGGAAATCAAAGTTTCCATATAGAGATGAACACGGGAAGCAACCCGGAGAGGACAGAAAGTCCAAAAGAGCCCACACCTGTAAGTCCGAGGGGCAGTCAAATATCATATGGTTAAATGTTTCCTCTGAGTCTCCACATCGGGGGCAACTCTTGTCAGTACCTAAGTGTCGAAAAGTGAGCCTTTGACATGTGGCCACACAGCTAGATAAGGCTTGCCACATAAAGTGTTGCAGTTTTGGAGGTGTCCGAATAACATGGTTTAATAGGCTAGTAATACTCGGTTCTGTCATCTCGGCCGGTTTAAGCTCCAATTTTAGTCGGTGGTCTAGTTCATATCCTGGTTTGACTGTGTAAGCTCCTGATTTTGTATGGTTCCATATATATCCATCCATGATAGAAGTTTTGCTATGTCTCATCCCGAGGATAAGTCGGATATCCTCAGGGTGGAAAAGGTCTTTGAGAATTTGTGTGTCTCATTCTCTCGTATTTCCCCTCATGAGTTCATGAACTAAGAGTTCTGGATTTATGTCCGTTGTTGGGATGATTCCCCTTTGTGGCCTAGCTGGGTTAGCTGGGATCCAGGGTTCACTCCATACTCGAGTGTTGCTTCCGGTTCCGATCCTCTTTCGAAGCCCCTGAAGAAGAAGGGGTCTTGCTACCAACATGATATTCCACCCATACGATGGGGAATATGCTTTGTGAGCATCAAGCGGGTTTGGCTTTCTGTAATACCTTCCTCGCAACACCCTAGCCAAAAGAGATGATGGAAATTGTACAAGTCGCCACAGTTGTTTAGCTAACAAGGAGAGGTTAAAGTCGTGAAGATCTCGGAACCCCAATCCTCCCTCTTCCCGGGGGATGCACAGTTTATCCCAAGCGATCCAATGCATGCCTTTGCTATTTTGTTTTGAGCTCCACCAGAAGTTTGCGATTGCACGTCTGAAATCTTCTATTACACTTTGTGGAAGTAAGAAACACGACATAACAAAGGCCGGAAGTGCTTGAGCAACAGATTTTATTTGAACTTATTCCCTCCTTTTGAGAGCAATCGTACGGACCAGTTGTTAACCGAATTGTTTAGTCGGTCTTGAATATATGAAAAGACCTTTTTCGATCCACATATCTGCTCTGGTAGGCTAAGGTACATCCCCATACCTCCTTCGTTGGATATTTCGATAGACCTCTTTATCTCCCGCTGTAGAGGTTGTCTAATTTTACTCCCGAATGGAATCGAGGATTTTGCTGTATTCAGCTGTTGTCCCGAAGCTTCCCTGTATGTGGATAATCTTTAATAACTCAGCTCCTTGTGTGACTTCAGCCTTGCAGAAAAATAAACTATCATCTGCAAATAAGAGATGGGACACTCGAGGGCTTGCTCTCGCAATCCTTAATCCCGTAAGTCGTTGTTCTTCCTCTGCTCCTTTTAGAAGGGAGATAAGCGCATCTGTACATAGAATAAACAGGAATGGGGAAATGGGATCTCCTTGACGTAGACCCCGGGTTGGTTTTATCCTTCTTTTAGCGTTTCCATTGATTAGAACTTGGTATGTGATGGAGGAGATGCAGAACATCAATAGCTTAACACATTTGTCTAAGAAGCCAAGCTTTAACAGAAGTGCCTCAATAAATCCCCATTTGACTTTGTCGTAAATTTTGCTCATATCTGTTTTGATGGCCATGAACTTTTCTTTACAGCACGGGTTTGTGCGTAATGCATGGAAGTTTTCTTAGGCTAGAAGAATATTGTCTGTAATTAGACGTCTAGCCATAAAAGCCGATTGGGTCTCTGAAATAAGGTTCGGGAGGACTCTCTTTAGTCTTTTACAGAGGATTTTGGAGATGATCTTGTGGCTAACGTTCCACATGCTTATTGGTCTGAATTCGGTCATTACTCGTGGACGGTCTTTTTTAGGTATAAGACAGATGTTTGTCTGGTTATGTTTTAGGTCGAACTCCCTTTTCTCAAAAAAACTTGAACCATTTTAGTTATGTCTTGGCATGTGATTTGTCAGAATTTTTGGTAGATGCGCCATCTGGGCCTGGCGCTTTGTCCAGGTTAATGTCGAAAGCTGCCGATTTTATCACTTCAGCTGAAGGAGTTGCCACTAAGGCTCTATTAGTGTCCTTAGATACTTTCTCAGTGATATACCCGAGAGAGACGGAGAAATCAGGTGGGTTTAATGTGGAGAAGAGGTCCTGGAAGTACTTTGTTGCAACCTTTTTGATCTCTCTTGCACTTTCCACCCATTGTCCATTATGATCTTTTAAACAGAGGATACGGTTGCAGGCCCTCTTCTTTTTAGTGCATGCATGGTAGTAATTTGTATTCTTATCTCCTCTTTTATGCCATTGTTCTCTACTTTTTTGAAACCAGAACATTTCTTCTTCTCTAAAGGCAGTACATAGCTGTCTTTTAATATCTTCCATTTCTTCGGGGGTGGTTTCATCGTCTGCTTGAGCTTCATCTAGTTTAACTTTAAGTTCTTCTATCAGTCTTGCTGTATTTGTGGGCGAGGAGATGTGTTTTCGATATGAGGATAGTCTTTGATGAAAATCTCTATTTGGTTGCTCTTCAACAATTTCCCAACCATGAACCCTGGTTTTCCTATCCATCTCTTATCAAATCGAAAATTTTGTTTCCAAGAATGAGGCCTTGAGTAAAAACTAGCCAGTATCGGCCGATGATCCGAACCCCATAGTTTCAGATATTCTACTTGGGAGTGGGAGAAGAGATAGTGCCATTCCTCATTCTCGACAGCTCTATCTATACGGCATTTTATTTTTCCTGACCGGCATTTTCCCACCCATAAGAGAGAATTTCATTAAAAGGAAACTCAATCATGCCACAGTGTTCCAACATATTCTGAAATGGTAAGAAAGAGGCTTCCCAGCGCCTCCGCCCTCCTCGTTTCTCGTGATTTCTTGTAATCTTATTGAAGTCTCCAATCATTATCCAGGCATTTTGCAGATTAAAACTCATGCGCATAAGGCGTTCCCAAACTCTTTCGCGGTATTCTACTACCAGATCTCCATAAACGAAGGTCATAAAATTTTTGTGTCTCTCGAGAGTGGATTCGGCATCTATCATGCGATCATCAAAATAAGAAATGATAACTGAAGGATCATTCATATAAAAGAGGGCTAACTCCCCGCTTCTGCCTATCGGCTCAACAGTAAAAACATTGTCATATCCATAATAAACTTGCATATCTTGTAGAAAAGGGCGTTTGTTTTTTTATTTCTAAAAAAAATAAAAAAAAGGGAAAAAACATCGATGTAGTTCATCGAAATGATGCTTTGTCAAGTTGGCTCCCGCCCCTTGACAGTTCCAAGCTATGACGTTCATCCTTTAGATATTGGTGGCATCTCGTTGGCCACAAGGCTTGGGTTGATCTGTTCCGAAGACAAGGCTATTGTGGTAGACTCCTCACATTGAGGGATATGGGCATGATCACATGAGTTTGGAGGTGCCTGCTTTGGGCTCTGAGAAGACCCAAGTCCAGGCCCATTAGCTTTCCCCCTTTTGGATTTTGGAGATGGGCGGCCCTTGCCCAAGAGCTGTTTTTTTATGCTGAAGTCCAACACAATGGGGCTAGCCGGAATTTTTTTTCTTCTCTTGGGACGACGGTTCTGGTTTCGTCGGGGACGCCGAACTAAATGAATTTGAGAGAACAAAGGGGGCAAAACTCGATCTTCACAGATTCGGCGTTGAACCAGTATCAATTTGCGAGTAAAGTGTCCTCCGAACTCAATCTCGTCGTCTGTTTCAGTTATGTAAAGCAATCTCTCTCTCTCTCTTCGTATTTGCCTTGGCAATATTGTTTTGTCTCTCTCGCTCGCACTCTTCGTTAGTTAATCGTTGTTTTCTCTTTCTCTCTCTGAGCTAGAATTTTATTTGATATATATGTGAGATTACTATTCTAGGGATTTTCGTTATACTCAATTTCCTGATAACATGTTGAATTAGGTTGATCGTAATCTATGTTCCCGTAACTCATAAGCCTCTTCGAACCTCACTCTCCTTCTGAAACTTTCGTTTACAATTTTGTTGTTTCTACAGAAAGAAAACAAATGGGTATTAGGGAGAAATCGAAAGAGGCTCGTTCCAAAGAATTGAAGGAAGATATGATAAGTGAATTACCTAATCATTTGATATATCTGATGCTTTCTCATCTTCCAATAAAAGATGCTGTGAGGACAAGCGTCTTATCCACCAGATGGAGTCGTCTCTGGCTTTGGATCCCTCATTTGGAATTGAGTTCCTATGTATTCCCAGATTTAAGTAAATTTGTGAGATTTGGTAACAGGTTTTTTTATTCCAATAGGGGTTCACGCATAGACCAGCTCAGGTTAAGTTTTTCAGGAAATAAAGACGGTACAGATGTTGCAGCTTGTTCATGGATTGATGCTGCAGTTAAGCGTAAGATCCAACATCTGTATGTTAGGTGTCTTTATAGTACGTCTTGTGAGATGCCCACAAGCCTTTAACTGTGAGACTATGGTATCCTTGAAACTTCATATGGTGGCTTTGGCTAATGCCGAGTTTGTTTCCTTGCCTTGTCTGAAGACTATGCTTTTAGACAGTAATGAATATTCCAATGAGGCAACCTTTGAAAAACTTGTCTCATCCTGCCCTGTCCTGGAGGAGTTAGTAGTGATTGTCAGACGTGTTGGTTCTTGTGCAAAATTCTTTCGGGTGCACTCTCTGTCACTGAAGAGCCTCACCATAAGTAAATGTATGTCTTGGGATTATGTTCCTGGTTCGGCAATTGTGATTGATACTCCTCGTCTATGCTTTTTGAGCATCAAAGATGAATTATCTGAAAGCTTTAAAATAGCCGAAATGGATTCCAGTGTCAAGCTAGATCTTCGTATCGACTTTTGTTTAGCGTTTCTTTACGAAGCAGGCTTTTCATCAAAGAACATATTCTGCAGCATTCTTGCTGTGATTTCAGAGGTCAGGGATATGACAATCTCGACATCCACTTTTCAGGTATGTTTGTTGATCCTGCTATTGGTTCGATTTCATCTTTCGTCACATTTTATATCATGAAAGTTTCTGACCCACTTTATTTTTCTTTTTGGTTCCAGTGCATCTGTCGATACATGAAGTCAGAACCACTGCCTCAGTTTGTTAACATGTCTCGCCTACATGTCGATCTCTCGGTATCTGATTTGAAACTGTTTCCAACTTTTCTTGAGAGCTTCCCAAACTTGAAATCCCTCATTGTAATTGTAATGATGATGTGCTTAACCTTATGAGCTCTTTCATCTCTGTGTGTCTTTTCATTGCGATATAACCCTCTCTTCTTTTCCCTTAGGTCTGCAGCGATGATTATAGGAAACCCACTGAAATTAGCTTCTCATCTGTGCCCGTGTGTATGTTATCGTCTCTTGAGTTTGTGGATTTCAAAGGCCTCTTCTAGGGATGTGCTACTGAAATGAATCTAGTGAGATGCTTCCTAAAGAATTCGGCTATCCTCAAGAAACTCACTCTGTGTTTGGATTCTTCTTATACAAAAGATGAAATCTTCAAGAAACTTATCAAAACCCCAAGAGCCTCTACCAAATGTAAAGTCGTCATTCTCTGATTCGCAAAGAGTAGAGGGAACATAGTGAGGTTGTCTTCCACAAATCAGTTGATGTAGGTGTAGGCTTTCATGTGTTACTAAGCATTTTTGCCTTTCGAGTAGATGAGAATGAAACTATTTAGGGCTCTTGTTGGAAATATCTTTGTTTTTTGGTGATTTTAGTTAAAGACATCGATGAAACTATGATGGTTTGTTGTGTGTAAAAGACAATGTGGATATGCGTAGCAGTTTCATGGCAATGTTTCTTTCTCTTGAACGATTGTGAGACAGCTTTTTCAGTTGAACGGATTATGAGAGCTTTTCAGTTTTCAATTAATTATACATTTACATTTCACTGCTAGATCCTAAAATTGTTACGCGTATATCTTTTATATTTACATATCAAACGTAGTTAATAAATAGATAAACCATTATGTAGAAAAGAGTGAATCCTTTGTTCATAAGTTATCTATTACATAGATTATCAAAATGTGCAAACAATACAACAAAAAGAGAAAAGGGTCGGTCATTAACGTTGAAAGAATGTTATGTACACACAAAATTCCAAATCAAGAAATCTTAGATTCCTCGAACGTGGGAGGAAAAATAAAAACAAAAAACACTTATACAAGAAACATGACACAACAAATATATATATAAGTTACATGTATAGTTGGAGTCATTAAACAATTGTTCGTACTTTGCATTTGCTGAATGTAGAACAGCAAAATTCATCTTTAAGCTGGATCTGTTTCAGGTTCAGGATCAGGTTCTTTGCACATACAATCAGGCATAGGGAACGTGTAAAGCGACGCAGCAGGTTTCCTCAGTTCGACTCCTTTTGCGTCATTGTGTCTAAGCATATCTTGCATTTGTTTCTTGAAGTAGTCCCATCTACAAAAGAAAAAAAAGAAGCTTTAACGTTGAAGAATATCCACAAGTTTGAGGTATGCAAAGTAGGTCAAAAGTCATTTACCTAATGCTCGGTTTCTCGAAGAGCTGAACCAGTTTCCGTTTATCGGGTTTGATAGTCTCGGCGTGACCTTTGTAAAGGTAGCGGCGGTGACCTATCAAGAAGTGAGGGAAGTTTCCACCTTGTGTGGATACAAACACTTTACTGTGGAGACATACTGTGTAGTCAAGAGCAGCTAATCTTGATGAGTGTCCCTACAGTTTCACAAAAAACAGCAATTTGTTTATTTATTAAGTTTTAGATAACAATCAAAATCTTTCAAATTCACAGGCATGTCATGGGAGAGCCCACAGGTTTTATGACCAATAATAGTTTTAATTACTTGACAACCTACTTTTTGTTTGGTGCTATCATTAATACGAATCGATATGAACCTAACGCACCTGACTTAATAATAGGATCATTCTAATAAATTTCCCTTTCCTATAAAAAATCAGCTTCTAAAAAGGAGAGGATTCGTAACTTTATAAGCCATCTAAAAACCATTTAACATCACCACTGAACTCTTGACATAAAATTCTCCATGACTTTCTGTAAATTCCCAAATGCGACGAACTTTTCACATCAATATGTTCCATAAGCAATTTGCAAATATGAACATTGTGGAAATCGTAGCGGTTTATGTCCCAATGAGCAAAGAAATTGGTGCTTTGATTACCTTAAACGGAGAAAGTTCCTCGGGGGTAGCTAGAGTATCTTTGGTCTGGAGAAGAGGAAACATCTGCTTAAGAGGAGCCATGTGTTTTTCAGCTTTGTAAATGTTTCCCGCAGCAACGTAAACTAAGGTGCTATTGGTAAAACCCATGCCTCTAAGCATCATCCCGACCTACAGAGTGATGTTACCAAAATTTGTCGTTTCCATAAAGTCTTTTATCAAAGTAATTGTATTTTAATTGTGGATCAAAGATATACTGGTTTTAAGATTTTCAGTGATACCTCAAGTGGGGTTAAAGGGCATTTTCCGTCTATGCGGTTTGCACCAGGCCTAATTACTCTGCCTCTTCTCCTGAACTTTCCTTTCCACCCTCTTTCCCTGGCCATGTCCATTTCTAGCTTCTCTGCCTCTCCAAAATCATATTCGCAACACGAGAAGGCGACCATGTCCTTTGGAAAGAGAAGAAACTCGAGATTATGAAAAGAGGGAAGTAGGTTAGGAATTTCAAAAAAAATGGAGACTGGGAAAAAATTACTAACCATTTCAAAGCGGAGATGAACAGAAACATATTTTCCTCCGCTCTGAACACTCTTCGTAACCATCCTATTGACCAATTTCTCTGCAAGCAACCGTATGGGCTCTGCAAATCTCAATGCTTCAAAGTTTGCTAAGCATCTTAGCCCTTGAATGTGTGCGGGAACTGCATGAGCTAACCTGTTGGAGAATGGTGCAACACGGACAGCCCTAATGAAAGAAACAAGATAGAGTAAGAAAGCCCTGCATAGTCTGTCTAGGTCCCAGTTTTTTCAATCCAAGAAGCAACCTTATAGAGACATAAAAGGAGAGCTCTCATTAACCAAAATCATATCATGGAGTTTCCAGAAGAACACAGTCTGTAGTTTATTATACTAATCCTCCTCACACACCCATACAGCATTAGAAACAAGCTTTCAAAGAGCGAATGCTAGTCCTATTTCCTTTCTGCATGTGAGCTATCTCGTATAGTCGTATTCAACTCAATAAGATCTTATTTAGTAGACCCAACTTCTAGGAAGCAATACATGGACAACATAAAAGAACAAACACACCAAGACCAACCATTGCTTTTAAAACTGAGACAACTAAAAGAAATAAGAAAAATGTCAGAAAATGGCATACCCCAAACGCAAAAGTTGTGGGAGCACCTTCTGAAGATAATATGCTGGACTCGACCAAGCTTTTAATCTCAAATTAACAATACTGCTTATATTGTAGTTGTACCGCTCAAGTATGTCTTTTGGGAGCTCTTTCACTACATTCACGTTTTTACTAAGCGCATATATGAAGAAGTCATCATCAAATATATCGCCAAATTTGCTGTAACCAACACAAAAAGAGGAAAAAAAGCAAAAGGAATATGTAAGTAAATCATGCTGCCAAAGAAGCAACTTGGTCTAAACATTGCAGACATATCGACCTTATCAATCTCTAAAGCGATGAAATTTCTCTTATCAAATTTTATTCCAATGTTCATTGGTGATGAAAACTTTCAAAGCCAGCATAACCATAAACCAATAGTAACCTGGAATCACGCCATACACTGTTTAGGTGAAAAATCGGGATGACAAGAGTAGCATTTAGCAGTCCAGCCACAGCAACTGCATCACATATCTACATCAAGACACGAGATATAGCTCTCTAAATCAACAAAACAACATACCATGCAAGTAAAACGAAACTCAAAATTTAGCCATGGAGAGTAAAACATACGGACAAGCGTTGTTGATTCAATCCACCATTTGCTTCGATTATGAAGTAACCATTAGAATTGGATCCTGTATAAGCTCAAAACCCTCCCAAGAGTTACCTAACCAACTCGAATTACATAAGCAGCGACAGTTAGATTCAAAAGAGGAGACTCGAACCTGAAGAAGAAACGTTGGTGCTGATGCATGGTTTCCATATGCTTTTAACTCTTGGCTTCCATGCTGTCATCAGCTACACAATCAGCAACACTCAATAAGAACCCAGAAGAAAAAAAACAAAATTCGTAACAAACAATCCATCGAATCACGAAATCCATAGTGACATTACCGCATTGTGACTGCTCCGATTAGAATCGGCCTCCATCATCGGCCAGAGCCGGTTAAAAACCTTGGGACTCCGGTAAACCGAACCTGAAGGACCTCGTCTATACACAATCTCAACGCCGTGACCTAGATCGAGTACTGTGAACCCAAACGAGCCCATAAAAAGTAACATTCCGGCGATGTAGAGAAGAGGCGCCAAGAGCAACACGCCTTTCCGTCTAAAAACTATTGAGAAGAGGAAGAACACGAGTCTCTCTCCTGTGCCTTGCTTTTCCGACGATCTGTAAACGCCGGTGGAGGTTTTTCCCCTGCTGTGACGGATTCGTGGTGAAGAAGGAGGTGATGCAATGTTGGATCGATTGATTCCGTTGCCGTTGCCGAGGCGGCTAAGGCCGTGCATGATCTGAAATCGGAGCTAAACCCTAGAAACGGATAGATTTGGAAAGCGAAGGTAGCATTGCTGTGTGGTAGCTTCGTTCGCAATCGATGTGGTAGGAGTCAAATTCAATAAATTCAGTCAAACTAACGCAAAAGTATAAACAAACAGAGAAAGAAAAATTGGTGGAGAAGTTGCTGAGAAAGAAACAGAGTGGAAACGAAGAGCAGAGAGAGAGAGTGAAGAAGAAGGTGAAGGAGGAGAAAAAGAGTATGCGTCGTTTCGATAAATTAACGTCATCACGTGAAGAAAGCAGTGGCTATCTTCTTGGCCTTGAGAGAGAGAGAGAGTGGCGGGTGAGATTTGGGAGCTGTTATTAGTTCTTGTATTTTAATGAATTTAAAAATCTAAACCAAATTCAGTGTTATTGATTCTTGTATTTTAAAATCTATATTAAAATATAGTATTATTGGTTCTATGATTTTAAAATTCATAATGAAATACAGTGTTATTGGTTCGATAATTTTAAAATCTAAATATTATAAATATTTGAGTTTTAATTGAATTTGAATAGATTTGGAAGGATTTTCATGACTAAAGTACAGAGACTCAAATACAAGGTCTAACATTGGTATTTGAGTGGATTTGGTTTTTTTTCCATTTTGCTGATTTTGAAATCAATAAATTTATCAAATCCAAAAAAATTTCTAAATCCATCAAAATACAAGAACCAATAACCCCTACTTGGACTTTGAGGAAGTGCTCTTTCCTATTGTTTTTACTAGGTATATACCAGCGCTAAGCTACAGGATATATTTCTAGATTTTGTATATATTTTGAATATAATGAAATTATTTTTATAATATAAATAAGTATTATATTTATTTTTTATTAGATTAAGTTATGTATTTATATGTTTTAAATCTGAATAACCATTATATATCCTTAAATTTTTTTATTTTTCAAAATTATAATCTACTACCAAATTTGTTTAGCTAACTATCTATAATATATATATAAGAATAAAATAATACATTTTTAAGTACTTTTATGTGAATGGCAAATGTAATTTGTTATCTCTACTAAATTGCTACTTGATCCTCCTTTTAAATTATATAAAGCAAATTGCCATTTAAAAAAAAACTGAGAAATCGCACTTTCCGGCAAAACAAAAAAATTTCATTTCACCTATTATTGCCAAAACCAAAAACATTCATTTTCTCGTCAAACTTGAAATTTTATTTTCACACCAAAACAAAGAAATTGCATTTTCCCACAAAAACCAAAAAAATCACATTTTCTTGCGAGAACTTGTGTTTTCCCATCAAAACAGAGAAATCAATTGACAAAAAAACGGAGAAATCAAGTTTTTTCACCAAGACCAAAAAATTCATTTTCCTATGAAAACCGAGAAATCGTCAATTCCCGCAAAAAAAACAATCATCAAACTAAAAATCAGGTCTTCCTACCAAAACTGATAAACTATAATTTTCCACGAAAACCAAAAATTGCATTATCTCCTGAGAAATTGTGTTTTTCGCGAAAGCTAAGAAATCACATTTTACCGCGAAAACCAAAAAATCACATTATATGTCAAAAAAATGAAAATTTGCATTTTCCATCAAAACCGAGAAATTGCTTATTCCTTCCAAAATCGAGAAATTTTGTTTTCCCATCAAACTGAAAAATTGCTTTTTTCGCCAAAATCTTCAAATTACAATTTCCCACCAAAACTAAGAAATCACATTTTCCCGAAAAAATCAAAAAAATCACATTATCCATCAAAAGCCGAAATTTTGCATTTTCTATCAAAACCAAAAAAATTATATTTTTTGTCAATTGAAAAGTTGCATTTCCTTCACATTTTCTCGTTAAAACTAAGATATTTTGTTTTCGCTTCAAAATTAATTTTTTTTTTGTTTTCTCACCAAAACCAAAAATTCACATTTTTTCACCAAACCCGATAATTCATTTTTCTGCCATAACCAAGTAATTATATTTTCCTAGCAAAACTGAAAATCACATTTTCCTACCGAAACCAAAGAATTCCCTACTCCCGCTAAACCCATGAAAATTTGTTCAGAGTAACCACTGGAAATGCGAATTTCCAAGTCATGGTGTTCTGAGCTTCTCCTCATTTGCTTTCGACTTCTATTTTTTTGTAAACTTTTGGGCTTTTTAATGGGTCTGCAAAATAGTAAACTAATTTTATTAGTGTGTGAATGATATGTATTATTGTTATGTTTTAATTGGTTCAAACTTTTGCTGATGTGTGAGCTTCTTATAACATAAGGCTTTTTACGTTGTTGTTATGGAAACATAGTTAATGATGAGCCTACACTTTTTCAATCATATAGTATGTCTCTGTTGAAAAAACAAATAGCTAAAAAAAATTATTTATTTGCTGTTAATTGTTATTTGGGTTTGGGTTTGGCAAAAAATAAAACAAAGATTTTTTTTATTTGCTGTTATTTATTATTTGAGCTTGGATTTGACAAACAATAAAACAAATATTTTTTTTATTTGATGTTGTTTATTATTTGGGCTTTGATTTTTTAAAAAATAAAACAAATTATTAACAAAAAATGTATTTGGGTTTTTAATGGGTTTGAATTTTAAAATTAAAATAAGTTGATGAGTTGTATTAATTTTTTAATTTGATTGGTTTATAAAATAGCTAAGGTGTCAGCTTCTCAAAGATTAAAAAATCTGATGTGTCAACTTATGGAGAGACTTGAGTGTTATTGTTGTATTGATTTCTTTTTTTTTTTAACTTTTTGCATTGCACTGTTTTTTTTTCTTTAACGTCTACTGAATTAAAGAAATTTAGTTAATATACAAATTTCTGGTTGTGTAGTCTATAAAAGATTGAAAATGAATTATTAGAACAAGATTGCATAGAAGCTAATATATGAGTAGGATGATTTGAAGCTCATTTGATCCATGAAAATTGTACTGCGACGAATTTTTCTTGTTAAAATCTTGTTTCTCTGATCCAATTTGTGAATGTCAAAATTAATTTTCTTCTGTTGCATAATGTCAATAAGTTCCTTGCAGTCTTCCTCAAAAGTCATTGTTGTATAATCCTGATTCCAGACTTCTTTCATAGCCAAAACCAATGCTTGGCATTTTGCTTCTAAGGCGTTGTTTACATATTTACCTTTAGTATGCCCCAATCTATGATGATTACCATCCTCATCTCTAATTATCTAGCCTGCATTTGCCACTGTTCCTCCCACTAAATATGATCCATCAAAGTTACATTTTAACGTACCCCTTTGCGGCTTAATCCATTGTGTATATCTGTTATGAAGATTGTTTCTATTTCTCCCATTGGATATTGTAATAATCGAAGCTGAGCATGTGAAATCTCACTCATCGACATCGTTACGTGCATAAGAAAAATTGGCGGACCAAGAGATATCTCTTTGTTGATAGATGAGTATATTTCTACTCTTCCAAATCCTCCATAAAATCGCCAAAGGGAAGTGTGTTTGTTGTGTCGTAAGTCAATGAAGATTGCAATCAAAGATATAAATCATCTTGTCTTCCAAGCTAACATTCGGATCATATAGTGTTGTATTTGGTAAAGAGGAGGCTCTCCAAATCGCTTGTGCATATGGGCATTCGAAAAACAGATGTTTTGTCGTCTCTGTACTCACACAACATCTCTTACACATTGAATTTGGAGTTATATGATGATATCGTAAAGCTTCCCCGGTAGATAATGCATTGGAAAGCAGTCGCCAAAGAAAATGTTTGATCTTAGGGATACCTTTAAGTTTCCAAACTTTAGCTTTTAGCTCAGTGAAACCTGGGATAGGAGGGAGTTGTGTTTGTCTTGGAGTATGGCAGGACAGCCAATAAGCAGACTTTACAGAGTATAGTCCATCCTTTGTATAATGCCAGCCGAGCATATCCTTTCCCTGATTTGGAAAAACCTTTATATTTAAGATTTTCATAGCATCTTCTTCATCCACGAACTCCCTGATTTTATTGGCATTCCAATATGTAGCATCGACATTGAACCATTCACGTATAGATGATCTGTCAATGCAGTCATGACAGGACATTGAAGGTCTTGGTGGATGAGAAGGAAACCAGTTGTCCTTCCAGAAATCAATATGTGTTCCATCGCTAATCAACCATCTCAATCCTCTATATAGTAAATCCCGAACATGTAGGATTGATTTCCAGGCATACACAGAATGTTTCTGATCCTTTGCAAATAAGATATTGGTATCATGGTAATACTGGGCACATAGTAGTTGTGATAGTAGACTGTCGGGATTCTGCAGCAACCGCCATGCTTGTTTATCTAAAAGAGCTTGATTAAATCGATCAATATCTCTAAATCCCAAACCTCCTTCCCTCTTTGGTAAGCTTAGACCTTTCTTTTCTGGACCATCACCCCACCAAAATTTGGCCAATGTTCGAGTGATGTCATCACAAATCTTTTTTGGAAGCCAAAATACATTCATCGAGAAAACCGGCAATGCAATTGCTATAGATTTTAGCAGTATCTCTTTTCTGCCTTGTGAAAGGAATTGTTTGTTCCAGCTTTGTGTATGTGTTTTTACTCTGTCAATGATATACTAAAGCATCTCAACTTTTGTGCCATTAAATTGTTCTGGCATGCCCAGTTATTTGCCTCCACCTCCTACATTGTATATGCCGAGAATATGACGCATTCGACGTTTTGTATCATCTTTAACCAAGTGGCCAATAGTAATTGAAGATTTGCGGAGATTGACACTTTGTCCCGAGCCTGCCTCGTATAGGTTATGAATAGCTTTAATTGCTCTACAAGATTTTTCATTAGCTAAGGTGAAAAATAAGGAGTCGTCTGCGAAAAGCAATGGTTTATCGCTGGGCCTCTGTTGTAGATTTTGATGCCCATGATTTTCCTCTCTGTCATGGCTCGATGTAAGAGGTGGGACAAAGTCTCTGCACACAGAATAAAAAGATAAGGGCTGAGAGGATCGCCCTGACTTAGTCCTCATTCAGGAATAATGTTCCCCTTTGCAACGCCGTTGATCAAAACAGAGTAACGAACTGTTGTAACACAGTTCATTATCCAAGCTATCCATTTTTGACATAAACCCATTCTATGCATCGTTTCTTGTAAAAACTTCCATTCCAAGCGCTCATAGGCTTTAGTGATGTCCGTTTTGAGGGCCATGTATGATTGAGCTTGTCGCTTCCGTACTTTGAGGCTATGAAAAATTTCATGAGCAATGATGATATTATCAGAAATCATACGTCTGGGAATAAAAGCCGCTTGGTTCTCAGATATAATTCCAGAGAGATGTTTCTTAAGCCGGTTAACC